ATTAGTTTGCGGGGAGGATCATAATGAGTACGCACTTCTGCTCTGCTGCTCTTGAAGATTTCAATGTACCTAAGGAGGTTTACGCATAAAAGTAGCTAAGTTTTACTTATCTTGCACACCACTTTATACAAAGCAATACATTTTAAACCACAGCCTTGGAACTGGCAATTTTAAGCCAGAATTGTTTTAAAAATTATGACTCTTAATCCAAGGCTAACAAATTCAATCACTGAGTATTTGTAAGCTCATTTAGTTATCCCAGCCTTAAGGCTTAGGGAGAGCAAACTGGTTTAATCTTCAGGACAATCAGAATTCACCCTGGAGGGAAATGTCCACTCAACAGGACCCACATTTTGCTCATATGGCAATACGCAGAGATAGGGTTAAAAAGCCAGCCTCCACCAGAATTTTAACCCACATGCACACTTCAATGTGTGTGCTCATTAACCCATTCTTTGCTTTTGCATGGCACATAAGCATAAAAAGTGCATGCTTTAATTAAGTCACAAAATTTAGAATAAGCCTTTGTAACATTTTGAATATTATGTTTATGTGGAAAATTACAAGAAAATGTTACATCAATGTATAGAACGTGTTTAGAAATTATATTTTTATGGTAATAAGAAGCTAAGTGTCTTTAGAACTATAGGCATAATTGGTGCTATTAGAAAAATTTAAAGCCATACTCTCTCAACTTCCTGAATTGTGAAAATTAAACATATTTAACAGCTTTAAGTTATCTACAGGCTAACAGCAGAACTAGAATTTCAGCTAGTCTGCAAAGATATGAAAGAAAAAAAACATTTACAACTTAAATTGGAGATGTTAGTAGGCTATGGCATTACATATTATGAGGTGAGCATTTCAGAAGAGAGAATATGGATTTAATTACAGTTTACCATAAGAAGAGCGACATATCCAACCAACCATCCATCCCCACCTGTGCCCTATTCTTTCCTTGTGTTTCTTTAGAGCCTTTTCAGCTATTTCCTGTGAAGCAAACTGCACGAAGGCCTCCCCCGTACTCCTCCCCTGGAAGTCCACCGGCAATGTTATCCCATTTGGCACGATTTCCAACCCTTCAACCCAAGGACAAATAACCCCAGTAGGGGGGTAATATTAACATCACAAGCCCAATCATGATTTTCTTATAGCTTTAAAATACACCAGATGTTATACTTTAAATTTCAGAATACCATTCTATTAACACTGTAAGAAAAAATACAAACACTATTTGACAGATTCTTAACTCAGCCTGCTTGCAAAACAACTACATTTCTACAAATTTAGATCAATATTTTCTCTAATGAACACAGATTGTGTTAAAAACAATAAAAGCCATATTTTACTAAAAATATTAATTATTTGTAGCCTTTCAATTTAAATTCCTTTAAAAATACAGTAAGATCAATTATACAATCATAACAAGCATCTGTTTAAACTTGCTTAAATCACTACATGCAACATTCAAAGCTAGTAACGAAATTAAAATTTTACACTTTCATATTTATTTCAACAAACTATAAATGTACACAATAAAGTAGGATCTATGAAACAGAAAAAAATTAATAAAAAATCTAAGTGGTGCAAGTTGATCATATCATATTTTAACATAAAACACATTAAAATTTATTCTGACTACTGTAATGCATTCCAAAGATTCTAGTTTAAGGTTTACTTCTATACTTCAGTCTACTCCTTGTTTCTCATATGAACAGTATTTCCATGCCAAGCCAGTTTTCATTATGCAAACAATTGTAAGATACTGAATTGCAGAACTATCTTATAACACACAAAATGTCTCTTCTGTACCTTCATTGCAAACACTATTTCACAAAATTTCATTCTACTCTTTCCACCAAGCTAAGCAATATTATTGCAACAATTATTCATCTATGTTCCACTCATGACATTTTTAGTTAAGACATACTGAGCAGACTGGAGTTGTTAAAGTACTTTTGCTCCAACTTATCAGGATCTATTTAGACAACATATTATCCAAACCCAAGGTCTGCAGCACTAAATTTAAATCAACCTAAGTTGATATTTGAAATTTTGAAAGCAGTTCCCAAATCATAATAAATCAGGGTTTGGTTTAGCTATGGTTTACACAAACCTGTTGCAAAACTGGCAGTTTAGTCATGTTTTTATTAACATAACGAGGCATTAGTTCAGCACTTCTAGAATTCTAATCTTTACAAATACAGCTATAGCTTTCATTTATACCCCACATACCTGAGAAGAACTGAACAATTTCTTCCTTGCTACAACCAAATGGAAGTCCTCTAAGCCGTACAAAACCATCATTAGCTGTATCAGGGCTGTTAGGACCAGTATGCTTCAGAACCCAATCCATTTCAACGTTGTTTGACTTGAAGACTGGAAGAGGCACTCAGAATTAATGAATTTCAGAATTTGGCATAAAAGCTCAATGCACAACAATCATTTGGAAGACAGATTCACATTACATTCACAAAAAAGTCATGCATCTAAACTCCACCCAACTCAAAGGCTAGTCAGTTACTATGTCAATTCAATCCAAACCTTCAACATATCTGTGTCCCATTGTTTCTCTGTCTTTTTTCAGTGCTAGCTTCACATCTTCTTCTGTTTCCAGTTCAACAAATGCTTCTCCACTTGGTCTTCCTTCCCTTGTGTAGATAAAACGGACCCCTGAAGATCCATTTAGTATTTTGCATTCTAAGAGAAAGCAGACAACAAGTTTAACCCACAGACCATGGGTGGAAGTAAATCCTGAGTTCAGTAAAACCAACTCTGCAATTTTAATTATACATACTGAAAACTTATTGGAAGCAAGTGTACCTTCCTCTGAAGTAAGAAGACTCTAGCCCAAGTATGAAAACCAGAGATAAAAGCACAGATGAACACAGAGCAACACCAAATTAAACAGGCCCTGCCATGAATTATCTAAAAATGAGCACTGTAAAAGGTAAGAGAACACAAAGAGTTAAAAAAAGGAGAAATATAAGAAATAAATCCCCAAAACAATTCACCATTTAAGGATGGAACTTTGTTCCCATCTACTGTATTTTCAGAATCACATTTCTTGAAACTAGTTACTTCACTACAGTCATATCAACATACTTAAATCTGTACCTTCAAAAATGTGGCTCTTTACTGTTATCTAAGCCACCTGGAGTCATGGGTAAAGGCAGAATGAATAACAAAATTCACTCTTTTAGTCAAAACAGTTAAGTAATATCCCCTCTTATCACAAGGAACCCAGTACCTTAGTACTACCCCATTTGGTGGCAAAAGACTGAAATGAATCCATCCTGCAACCTAAAAATAAAACACCAAGGAGGGAACAAGACGCTTACAGTCTTCCCATTCTTAAAGGATATTTGAAGCCCCGAGGAAGTATACCATGAATGCCATGTGGAGTGGGGGAGGGGTCGAAAAAACCAGGAAACAGCACTTACCCGAAAAAAACCTCTGTACCTCATCTGCAGAGCAGGACCAGGGCAACCCACGCACTTTCACGACATAACCCTCCCCGCCTTCGGCGTTCAGCATCATACTGGAAGTGAGCGTGGTCTCAGTTTCGCCTTCTGTTGCTACGGGGCAGACAAAGAAATCGCCACACTGAGTGGGACCTAACATCTGTAACCCAACACACCCGTACCTGTAAACTTCACGCTTGCCCACACCTCCCACACTTTTTTGTCACCAAAAAAAAAAAATCTCCCCCACGTACACATCGCAAACTGAAATCCTCCTCCGACGCAGCGCAGACGGTTTTAAGGGTTTCTTCACCTAACCCAGAAGGCCTATCGGCGGTGAGCGCTAGGAAATGGCGCCGAGCGGTTGTTTGCGCTTCCGCTCGGCCGCTCTCTGGCGCCGCCTCCGCCTCACAAAGAATAGGCCTCAGACAACCGCTGGCAATTTAGAAACAAGTCGGCTGTGGAGCGCGATACTTGATCAATGCAGAGGCTCCAGAAATAAAGACTATATTTAACGGCCACTAAACTGAGAGGACACCCACCCAGCTCACCTGTTTCTAAAGTCTGGCGCGGCGTGGCCGACAATAAAGCACAAGGAGCATGCGCGCACTTAAACCATAGAGCGCACGCGTATTACCGGGATTTCCCCACACACACCCTTCAAGGGCTATCTACGCATGCTCTGAGCAACCACCACCTCTCGCGATTGTAAGGCTTCAGCCTACAATGTAAGTAACTTGCACAAAACCAAATATAACAAGTATGAGTCACAATTCATAAAATCGAGCAGTAAGGTCCTTCTTCCCCCCCACTTTGTTCCAAAATCTACACAGCCCACCGTCTTGCGCATGCGTCCGAGAACAAAGCCATCGTCCCCCAGTCCGCGCCAGCTCTCAAGCCCCGCCTAACAAAATAATTTAAACATTTCGAATATAACCAAGGGAGCTATCCATGTCAAATCAGAGACAATGTAGCACTCAGATTTCACTAGCCTTCATATTTTATCGTTTTGGACGAATACCATAGTGCCCCTAACCACGGGAAGCAGTTATTAACTGCTTTCCAGCGTATTTTGATCTTTTCCGAAACCGATTTACAATTCCAGAACTAATCGGGGGACAGCGTGCTACGTTTTCATAATCGCAAAGGGCAGCTGCATTCTCTACGAATACCTTGCTCACGTCAAGGATTACGTCCCAAGTGATTTCACTACAGCTTCCTTTTAAATTAGCAGCCCGAACCTACGCAGTCCACTGATTCATAAAGAGCGCGCAACTGCACAGCAGGAGCTACTAGTGCGCTTGTGAAGCTCTATTCCTGCTCTATCAATGTAACACTTCCGGAAACAAGGCTCGACTCACTCGCAAAAGCCCAGACAAGCAGCGCCCGATTCGGGGGTGGGCGGGGGCATAAAAGAAAGAATGGCGGATTCGCAGTGAATCGAACCAGCCTCCAAAAGAGGGTGGCGCCAGAGACGAAGGGGGAGAGCAAGGGCGTCAGCCCGCCTGCATGGATTGGCTAAGCAGAGGCGGGAGTCTTCAAGTGAAAGCGCGGGAGTCGCTTCGCTCAGTTCTTCTTGCAGAGCGCGGAGCCAGCGTATGATGCACTCTCCAACCAAACGCCTCTGTCCCAGCCCAACCATCTCCTTGGACCGGAGCTTCCGAAAGCGCCTCAAGAAAGTTTCAATTGAAGGGAATATTGGTAAGTGTTAATCTGCTAGGTTTACTAGCTCATACAGTGATACTTTTTCGTCTGTTCTCCTTGAGTTCTGAAAGGGACATATCCTAGCTTGGTTTAAGGGAGACTACTACTATAAAACGAACGCTTGTGTCCTTGTACTACGAAGGATGGCTGCTCTGCTACCACGGCAGAGTAGCCTCCCACGACAAACAAAAAACTGGCGCCACTTTTCAGGAAATAGTACTACGAGAGGGACCGGGATCTAATAAGCGAGTACTACAGTAAACGTCATTGTGTTTTCGTACTATTTTTACAGACCAGCACCATCCTTATTTTCAAACCATTGGCGTAAAGGATGGAACTTAAATTAGTTCACTAGTTTGGCTCTTTGATACCCCAGGTTCCATTTCGTTCCCTCCCTCTGATTTTTACAAGACATACTGTACTATTCAGTATTGTGTCCTCTGGAAATTAAAACTCAAGTCACGTATGACAAAATATCAATCTATTCCAAATCAGAACTTCAAAAGGAAGTGGTAACATAATTTAGGGTGCACATAAAAACACACAGAAGCTTTTGGATAGTTGGAAATCTTAGAAGATGGCTGTGTACAAGAAACCACAGCCCTCTATCCTATATTACCCAATGTCTGATTACAGTGTCCACTAATTTTTTCCACAGCTGCAGGGAAGTCCACATTTGTACGTATACTAGAGAAATACAATAATGAATGGGAAGTAATTCCTGAACCAATAGCTAAGTGGTCCAACATTCAGACATCCGAGAACGAATACAATGTAAGTATTGGGGTGAAAAGAGGGCAGTAGCAAATTGGTGTTTTTAAAATAATATTTTTACTATATCCTGCTATTCCTAAGAGTAGTCAAATAAGCCAGAGGAAAGTATTTTAGGTTTAGACAACTCAGGTACAAGAACTCAAACTTCAAATAAAAGATTTGATATTGTAAGTGTTCAGATTCAGAATACTTTATGCTTTGCATAAACCACACATATATATTGAATGTGAATTTTACTTCCTAAAATGAGGTGAGTATAAATCAACAAGTCAACTATAAATTCACTTTTGAAAAATTCCATTTCTGTTTATCAGGAGCTTTCAACATCACAAAAGAGTGGAGGAAACCTGCTTCAGATGTTGTACAGTAAGCCTACAAGATGGGCTTATACCTTCCAGACACATGCTTGTTTAAGTAGAATTAAAGCACAGTTAAAACCCATCTCTGCCAAACTACATGAAGCAGAACATCCTGTGCAGTTTTTTGAGAGATCAGTCTACAGTGATAGGTAAGAACATTCACTTCATCACACCTACTAATAACAGTAAATTAAGAGGCATCTTTCCAAAATGCTATGAAGCGGCCTACCAAGAATACATTAGGAATAGTCATTTTGATGCAAGAAGTTCCATAAATGTTAAATGAAGTCTTTAGAAGTGTTACTCTTGTACCTTCAAGTATTTAGCATGTACGAAAGGAACCCAAGTGGGAAAATATCCATACACTACCTGAAACATCAACATTTTCCAACATTAAGTTAATATTAATTCAGCAATTAATACTATATTTACATGTTGGATGCAATATTCTTCATATTCTGATTTGGGTAGTTGCAAACTTTTCATTTATAATCCATACAAATCAATAGTTTCAATAGGGCTATGCCCACTTGCCTGACTTGACAGACAAAAGTGAAGCTAAGGAAAGGTTTTAGATTTACTATCCACTTTTTCTACAGAAATTCACCTTAAGTGCTTACCATTAAGACTCACTGGGTCTTGCTTCCAAGTATGCAAATGTTTTATATTGCAACCCTAGTTAACTATTTATTAACATTTTCATACTCAGTCATGTAATAAAACTGTCTGTTTTATAGGTATGTCTTTGCCTCCAATTTATTTGAATCAGGAGACATCAATGAAACAGAGTGGGCTATTTATAAGGACTGCCATGCATGGCTTCTGAAACAGTTTGAATCATCCATAGAGTTAGATGGTATTATCTACCTCCAGACAACCCCCCAGGTATGCTTTTTTTCAGTCCAGTGTCGATAACATAGTATGGTACACGTCAATGCCATCTGGATATTCCTCTCTACAAATAAGATGCATAGTTTATAGATGCAATATGTTTATAGATTAAATACAATGGCTGTATAAGAATTTGTGGTGCTCTGGAATTTATAATTGTACTGTGGGAAATCTGATTGTCCAGCCTCTGGCTAAATTAAGATTTAACCAAATCCTGTTTGCTGACCACACTTCAGACCTACCTCTTCAGCCTAGCTACTTATCAAGGTGAAGGACCTTTCAAAGTTAGTCCTAAGAATTATGATTACCAGTGTCTGAAGAAATATCACTGTGGGGCAACACACACAACTGCACTACTTTAGTTTACCCTTAAAAAACTAGTTTAAATACACAATATGTGTATTCTACTTACCTAGATCAACCGTAGTCCAGAGAATAAATCTAACACTAGACCTCACAATCTTTCTGATGTCAGATTACCTCAAGAGATTCCACATTCTAATCTGTAGTCACTGTTGCCTAGAGACATGCACTGTGAGACTCTCAAATGCCTAAACAGAGTCTTCATGCTTGTAGGATTGTAGGATATTAAGAAAACCAAACTTGTTAAAATAAGCATTAATCATTAACACCAAGGCATTTCATTGAAAGGACTGGTCTTAATTATTTTCACACACAGTGAAGCAACATTTCTTAATTTTGCATTTCTGTGCTTTACTATGCTCACAAAAGTAGGCTCTTTCAGTGTTACATAGGCCAGTTTCAAAAAGGGCAAGTTCTTAACTTCTAAAATCACTGACGCGGCCAGTTTCAAAAAGGGCAAGTTCTTAAGTTCTAAGAACTTGTCCTCTAAAATCACTCACTTACAACAACCAAAGCAACATAAACAATATTAGTTGAAACCTTTATTTGTGGAGTACCAGCTGAATTTAGAGTGTTTTCCACATAGGCCACTGTGAGTTTTCCTGTCACTGTTATGCTGCCAATGCAGCACAGCAACAACTGGGCTTCCCAAATGGTACAGGTTTCTCCAGTTTCCCTGCCTCAGCCCCACAGCAACAGCCGTCCCCATTGCACTATGGGGCTTTTTCTTTTTAAAAAAAGAGTAATACATTGATGCAGATATATGCCTTTCCCCATATACTTCCATAATGAAAGGGAATTTTTTAAAATATAACCTACACAGATTATAATAATTGCTGATCTATTTAAGAGCATCCGCTAATGGAGGTGAAAATGGCAACCTCACTGCCAGGGAAAATGGCTGCCATGTGGGTGGAACCAGGAAAACCCAAGCTTTCCCACCCACAAAGCAGCCGTCCAAGTATGTGAGATTAGAGAAAATCTGGGGGAAACCCAGGAGGTGCACAATTCATTATAATGCTGTGGGGAAGCAGTGAATGCTTCTGATGGCCTGACAAGGCCAGAAAGGCCCCTGACAAGGCCAGAAAGGCCTTCTGCAGACTGTGTAAAATGGAATTCTTCAGGAGGGTATTTTTATAACAAGAAAAGGGTTGTAGTCTCAGTGTCTGCAATAACATTATTGGCATTGTTTCTTGGATGTATTATACTGTATTTCATTGTTTCCTTGATTGGTTTGTTGGATTTATATTCGCTTCTTTGTAAATCTCACCAAGTGACAACAGTGGCATACATTTCATGAATGCGATAATCATGCTGAGCATTATCTGTCTGCTAGAGGGTATAAATTTATGGCTTTTAAAAACCTAGAAATGCATGGAACGGCTGCACTGCAGAGGCAGAGAAGAAGAACAAGGAATTCAACTGGAATTTCTGGAGAGTCTTCACTATAAGCATGAAACCTGGCTTCAAGAAAGGACAATCAAGTAAGCATTTCTAGTACTTCACTGTTACACAGACTTGCTATGCAAAGTAATATCTATTCCATTCCTTTTCATTTGAATGAGGTGGGTAGTTGCTGGTATCTGAAAAACTGTGTGTACACATGAAGGCTTATAACTTTGTTGGTCTTAAAGGTGCCACTGAATAAAACTTTGTTGGTCTTAAAGGTGCCACTGAATAAAACTTTGTTGGTCTTAAAGGTGCCACTGAATAAAACTTTGTTGGTCTTAAAGGTGCCACTGAATAAAACTTTGTTGGTCTTAAAGGTGCCACTGAATAAAACTTTGTTGGTCTTAAAGGTGCCACTGAATAAAACTTTGTTGGTCTTAAAGGTGCCACTGGACTCAAACTTTGTTTTCTTCATCTGAGATACTGTGAGCTAAGGACGCATGTTCAAATCTCAACTCTGCCATGGAAGTTCAATGGACGGTCATGGGCCAGTCACACTTTCAGCCTAACCTTCCACAATGGGCTGTTGTGAGGTTAAAATAGGAGATAACTGTATCGTAAATAAATTATTACTGTTAAAATATGGCAGAACAGGGGTCCCCAATCTCAGTGCGCCTGAGAACAATGTGGGCGTAGAATGTTTTCCACAGGACAAACTACAACAAAAAATAATTGACGGAAACCCATATCACTGTCTCTGAACACTTGGAATTGTGACTGGGCAGGATCACAAAATGGCTGCCATGGGATACTGGGACCAATCACAGAATGTTCAGAGGTTGCAAGTCAACCATCCTCATACAGTGGTGGCAGCAGTCTCTGAACTGGTATTCCTGTGGCCACAACAGTGATGCCTCCTAAATTCTTCTGAAGCCTTTCCAGTCCCACGGAGTTAGAAGAATGCCTGGACTGGCTGTTTGGGGGCAAAGCAAATGAGAACCACACTGGATACCGAAGGGCTGTACAGATTAAAATATACTTACAGTACAAACTATTTTGCTTTGTAGGATGGACTTTGACAATCTTAGAGACATACCAATTCTGGTTTTAGATGCAAATGAAGATTTCAAAAATGATGAAATAAAACAGCAGTATTTATTGGATAAAGTAAGTATAATGAATAGTATCTCATCCATCCTTCCCTTAGCAGGGTTTCTGAACTTGAGTTCACCTTCCTGTTTTGCATTTTAGAATTGAATTCATACATTTAGAAAAATTAGTACACCAACAGTGTGGTCCTAGCACCATTGATTTAAATAGACTTCAAAAGTGCAGCTACTATGATTGCACTGCAAGCCCCCTTAGAATTGTGTACTTTAAATTTATAATCTTTTACTGGTTAATCCTTTTCCCAGACTAAAAAAGTGAAAGATGCACCCTTTTTATGTTTTTAAACACAAAAGAAGAGCTAGGAATTCTTATTTACGTGATAAATTAATATAGGAAGACTGTGTACTATAGATTAAGACTGTGTAATCCAGAAGAGGTCTGGATAACTTAGTTTTGTTTTGTTTTTGGGTGGGACTCTGAATACTTTCCTAAATACCTTTCCAACTCTGTTATTCTATGATTCTCACATGTTATTTTGACAGGTCAAGGCTTTTTTGACTGCTTTGGAACAAAGGCACTTGGAAAACTGCCATTGTATAAACTATCTGAAATGGGCACACAGTACCTGCACTGGCAAATAATCTTAATGCTGTTTTTCTGCTATTTGAACATGAGAAGGCTGCTATATATCTGGAAATCAAGAAGCTTTAATGCAACAACAACGAGACACTAGGATTGCCAGAGGCACTCATTTTAGGACTGGAATGTTTTGAAGCAAGGGTGATTACTGTCTTTTGTGTATTTCCAAGGACAAAACGTTGTCTGGAAATAACTTTACTATACTGCATTACTAAAAATTGTTGTACTCTTTAATTGTGATAGATTATGTATTTATGTCCAACTGATTAAATTTGTACCTTAAATGATTTAGCTATAATAAACATTCTATAAATTCAGAGTTCTGCAGCTATTTCACCTAGAGCCAGTTCATATAACAAGCAGATGGATATTACTGCATAACCATTTTGCTAAATTAATATTATCAGATTTGTATGTTAAACACTAGGATGATCAAAAATATGCTACAAACTCCTAAATCCAGTACCATTTTATTTCTCACAGGAACTAAATATTCTACAGATTTACCGAAAATGATTGATAGCTTCAATTTCATTTTTTAAAACACTTTAGGTTTCTGGAAAACGTTCAGAATGAATCCTTTAACGTACATTATAGTGTGATTCTGGGTACACTTATGTAGAATCATTTTCAGTACTAGATTCTTCAGATGGATGAAATAGGTTAGAATGACAAAATGATGATTGTCTTTTTATATATAAAGGCGATTTGTCCTTCACCACTATTGGAAACGGAGATGTTTTAAACGTTTCAGGGTGGTTTCCAGAGCCTACTTTTAAGATAATAGCTGAAAGGCTTAGTTTGAATGTAGGCCCAAGCAAGAAAACTAGGCACTCTCCGAATAATAAAAGGGGGCTGTTAGAGCAGGATTAAAGACGAGAATATGGCGGCAGCGTTACCCTTTTAGCGTTTGCGACAGCAGTGTACGACGTTATGCTTTGTGCGGGTTTAATGGGGGGGGCGGGTAGCGCGCCTCTCTCCAACCAGCCACTAGGCCAGTCTCGCGATCGCCACGAAGTCACGTGTCACGTCTCCCTCCATTTCAGGAATTTCCCTTTATCTGTTCACCAAACAAATAACTTCTCCCCGCCCGGTGCTCAAGGGCAACCGTTCTCAGACAGGTTCTTTCAACCCTCTCTGGCGAGCTACGGGCCCGGGGTAGGTTCCTGTGTGGAGCTCCCCCCGCCTTGCGGCCTACGCCACGCCACTGTCATACACCCTAGGCCTCGGAATGGCCGCCGCAAGCGCAGCACGCAGGATTGGGCAACACCCACCACAATGGCGGAGGCAGGACGTGTTGAAAGAAAGAACCGAGGGGAGGGGGGGAGCAGTCCTGTCACGCTCCCTACCGAGGGAGAGATCTAGGGGGGGGTCAAATTCTTACCTTCCCCCCAAATACACACAGGCGAAGAGGGAGACCCACTTAAAACTCCAGAGTGCGCGGCGGGTTTGAGGCGGCTACCTCAAGGCCCCTCCCCCGATCTGCGCCAGCGTTCCAAGAGCCGCAGCAACGGCCTCAACGGTCGCCGGGCCGCAGATTCTTTCCTCGTGCCAACCGCCAGTCGGCAAAGCCCACTCACCGAGGCCGGGGATCTCGGGGCCAGTCTCTTCGGTATGACACGGATCCATCACGTCTGGTCTCCTTTCGGGTTTTTAGACGATCTCCTTCCTCTTCTTCGCCCGGTAGCGAATAAATCAATCAAGCAGCAAGCTAAACAATAAAAGAAGACGGGCCCCGATTAGCACAGCGCTGCCGGCCCGGATCCTTCCCGGATCTAAGAGTAGTCCTTCCCTCCCTTCGAGAAAATGAGGCCGGCGCGAAGGAAAATAAAATACGCCACCACGCGCCTTTCGTTATCCCCCCCTCGACTCACCAAAGCTTCCTCGCAGCTGCTCTTCGCCTCTATAAATAACTCCTTCCCCCACTTGTAGGCTTGTGACATCAGATTAAGTAACCCCTCCCCATCCCCAACCAAAGGAACCAGCCAATCGCCTAGTTACAAAGGCACAGAAGAGGCAAGCATCCCCGCCGCACGCACTCGCCGCCCCCCCTCCCCCCGCCGCCCTTTTAAAGTACCAAGGATGGTTGTGTTTTTAAGACAGCATCTTGGAAAACAGAGCTGGGAAGAAAGGCCTTAATAGTTATGACCGTTAGAATTGCCATCTTCAGCCAACCTACTAGGAAGTAAATTCTACTCGAGTTGCAAAGCCAGCCTGGTTCCAGAAACAAAGAAAGCCCTCATCTCCTGCTAGAAAGGTTTAAAAGATATTTCCAGATTTAGACCAAAAAAATGACACTTAAAACATGTATGGATCCAGATGTTCACCCTTGAGACAGCACTACTCTTTCAGGTTCCTGACATTCCCTCTCTCTACCCCCAGCATATTTAATACCCTGGCATAAATCATGTCACTGGTGGTAAGGGACAAAGTTATCTTTCCTTGTGCCCCCATACTATTTTGTGAACTACTATAGCACTCGAGAATAGAGTATTTATGGCAATCACCATAAAAACCACCCACAAAAATCCCTCATCCTCTCTGCAATCTTTTGCTTTTAGTTGTTTTTATTAATTTACCTGATCAATAATTCTATGCTCATTTCAGGCTACCTGTGAATTGCATATCTGAATGTTCCCTCATTTTTTTAAAAAAAATCCATGCTACATTGAGCGTATCATATAGGATTCGTTCTAGCCTTCACCCTGGAGTTGCAACCTGTTGTTTCCTTTTCTTTTTTTCCGGCCTGTTGTTTTCTCATGGGGGAAGACATTCAATTCTTGCTCTCACCTGCAGCATGAAATGGTACAACTGAGGAAAAGTTTTCTGCTTGGCTGTGTTGAAAGTACAAACTGGGCCAAAAATATCAGCTAACGCAGATCTCATACTTTAGCAACCCAGAGACCACCATTTTCATTCAGAATTTTTACACACCCCTCCAAACCTACCCTCCCTTCCTCAATGACATACTATGTGTTGGACAGTCCCCTTTCAAAGATCATGACAAGCCATGCATAGCCCATGTCCTTTAATATCAGAAAAGCTGTTACTTGCTCATTCTTTCCCCATAAATGACACTAAATTAATTAATTAAGTGTTAAATCCAGACTATGGGGCAAATTAGAGAAAGATGTAAAAGTGAAATGTGATTACACTAACAGTGTGGATTGTGGTTGCAAAGATGCGGTAATCGGGTCATTTCATAGAAAAAGAGCTGCAGGAACTCATTAGCATAACTCATTAGCATATGCCACACCCCCTGACATCACCGGAAGTGTGTCAGAAGGCAACACCCACCGCTCAGGCTCCACTTAACTGTTTTGGATTGCTAGCTATTGGGGGGGGGGATGTGCGGATCTGTCCTCACAGAGGAGGGAGAGCTTCTACCTGAATAAAACTTGGTCTTAAAGGTGCCACTGGACTGTTTTGGACTGGGGAGCCGGGGGGAGTTCTGCAACTTACCTGGCTACTTCTTGCTCTGACTGAGGGCTGCTGGGAGCAGGAAGTGGGGCTTGTTGCATGTGCCCGCCCCCTGGGCTGTTTACTGCCGGAGCGCTGCTCCTGTGCGCTCCTGCAGGAAATGACCCCTGGCGGTAATTCAGGCTCAAGTTTTTAAATTTAGCCACGACTCTGTTTAGAGAACAACAGGGAAACAATACATTTAAATTAATGTTTGTTAGTTGTCTCTTGTTATAAAATGCATTCTTAGAGATTCTGGAGCCTAATGTTTCTGGAAAACATTTGGCTTCATTGCGATCACATCATTATCTCTCATGAGAAAAGTATGGCATGCTAAAAACCCAGGGGAAAATCATTTAACACAATAGAATTTGATGTCCTCATGGGAATCATGCCAGACAAGATACCTTCATATACATTTTTGGACAATATTTTACAAATGAATAAGGAATCCTTTTTTTCTTTAGAACACAGCAAGAACAAAACAAACACCCTGCCTATGAAGACAAGTACATAATACAAAATTAAGTTTATTTTCCTGGTATCATTTACCATACTTTCTATATTTGGAGTAACAGTAATATTAAATTCAGCACAGAAACCTTTTACTCACAAGCATTGTACTACACAGTGTAAGTGGACCTCAGGGAAGATACTTGTTTCTTAACAGAGATTTTTGAAGCATCTTCACATACCTTTTATTCAGGGGTCATTTCGTAGAAAAAAAAGATTAAGAATATTACAGCTCTGAAAAAAAAACATTTGATTTCCCCCCAAAAAATATTCCTTCTCCAAAGATCCCCACAGGAGTACAGTTTACAAATTCCTTTGAAGTTTTTCACTTTGTAATTACATGTTGGTTACAGAAGATAAGTAATGGATTCTTAGGACAGGGATGTAAATCATTGTTTCCTTATTCTGCTGTCACACACACTAAATAATCCACTTTCAATGCACTTTCCATCCGGATTTTGCCAGTTCACACAGTAAAAATCCAGATGGAAAGTGCATTGAAAGTGAATTGAAAGTGGATTATTTAGTGTGTGTGACCGCAGCCTCATCAGTGTACCATTTTGCTTGTTTGGATCCTCAATTGCAATGTAAATCTGGAATTAAATTATATGTGAGGGAGAGGGAGACAGTTTTAATTCGTTCTGAGGTTTCGGTCCTTGGTTAGGAGTCAGGCTTCCCAAGTACTTACCGTGATTCAGCGGGGGACGAAGACGTCTTCGCAGGATCATTCCTGTAGGGACAACAGACGTGCCACACCATGCCGTCGCCAGGAAGTGACGCCGGGCAACGCTCTGGCAATGGGGCCAGAAACTCGATCGTACCATCGAGTTTTCAGCCCCATTGCCAGAGCGTCGCCCAGTGTCATTTCCTGGCGACAGCATGGTGCATTACAAGGAGAAATGTTCCAGCCGGGGAGCATGTGTCCCCCGCCAGATTGAGGTAAGTACTTGGCAACCCTATTAGGAGTTAAGTGTTTCTATAACCAAACATTTTGTTTGGAGGAGGTATAATCATGCTTAATGTCAAGAAGAGTAGAGAATAATTATTTTAACTGTAATCAAATTAACAATATCTATATATACATATTTTCTGTGAGAGAATGAGAATATTTAACTGGCTAGCACTGAGACATATCAAACTGCAACCTATGCTGTAGTGAGATGTCCATTTACCTTTGGATTTTGAGTGATTATACCATTTCAAAAAGGAAATAGAATGCCTATGAAAACAAATTAGAGACATAGTAGGGATATACAGACTGATCCTATGCATTCTTGCTTGCAAGTGAGGACCACTAAGTTTAGTGGCAACATGGGTAAAGGCCTCAGCGTTCTGTTGTTGGACCCCCAGGGGGACTGGTTGGCCATTATGTGAGACAGGATGTTGGACAGATGGAGCACTGGTCTGACCCAGCAGGTCTTTTCTTATGTTCTCAGCAGGGCTTACTACCAATTGAGTAACTGTATGCTTAAAAGTGCTTAATTTCGGCTAACTCATCCCCACTGTTTTCCTCAGAACAAATTACTTTCAAAGTTACAGTCAAAGAGAAAACAATTTTTAAGGCATCTTTTCCTGAATAAAATGCCACTTCCTCCTTATTCCTTTTCCCCCCTGCAATTCTAAGAACACTTTCATGGGACTATGCCCCACTAAATAAAATGGAACTTACTTCTGAGTAGGCTTGTTTAGGATTGCTGCCTTTGCAGAAAATCAGGCAGCAAGCTAAATAGTGAAGAAAATATACAGAACATACAGGGCTTGACATATAGTACATAGTTTCAAAGGGGGAAAGTACCAGTTTCAACAGCAAATTGACATCAGATAATATGGGGCAACCTTATAAAGGTATTTTTCAAACTGCAACCTATGCTGTAGGGAGATGTCCTTCTATTTACCTCTGGATTTTGAGTGATTATACTATTTCAAAAAGGAAATAGAATGCCTATGAAAACAGCTGCAGATGATCCAATAGCCACTGCTGCTTATCTAAAGTGGGGAAGAAACAGGAGTCACTGCTTAGGGCAGTGTCAGCTAAAGATAGGTTTAAAGTAGCAAAATATTTTTTCCCCCAAGTTGGCACGTTTCCAACAAATGTTGCATAACAAAGATTATTGGGCAAGCAGAAGCAATGGTCACAAACAGCTGAGTGGGAGGGAGACCTTTGTGTAAACTGTAGTAAAAGGTTGAGGTGTTGATTGGTGTTCCTTAATGAAATCTTATTTGGGTTTATGTTTTTGAGATCTCCATCTGCAGCCTTTGCCTCTACAGTTAAAAGGCAAAGCCTCCTAAGCCAATTCATCAACTATCTCTGCTTGCATTTGAATGGACAGCATATCAACAGTTAGAAACCACAAGACATTCTTGCACAGTTCATAATCAGTGACACCCCTGCCCTTCTATCTGAGTGCTACTATGGCTGATAGTAGCAAAAGCTGTTGAGAGTTCCAGAACAAGAGGGTCGTACTTGTCTTACTCGTCTCCTGATGGAGGTTGTTAAACAGGGAAGTTATTCAATCAAGGCAGGTATTAGACTGATCCTCTGTATTTCAGTTACGGTCACCAGATAAAATGTATTTGACAAAAGGAGCTTTGGCTCTTAAAACCTTATACCCCAAAATTCTCTTTGGTCTCTGAGGTGCTACTGGACTCATATCCAGCTGTTCTACTGCAGACTAGCATGGCTACCCTCTAAAACAGATAAAATGTAAAGATAACATGTAGCCTAGATGAAATGGCGTGGAATAACAGGAAAACAAACAAACAGACCAAAAATCATTGTTTTCAGAGTTTTATTGTAGGTTTGCATATAAGAAGGCAAACGACTTCAAAATTGCAGTACTCATGTTCGAAGTATTTATTAAGACCGAAGCATCAGTACCTCATTTTTCTTTTTTATCTTAGGATGCCAAGGGGTTGCATCCAGCCTTTTCTCTACTGTATGGAGTCGGGCTGTGGTCTCTGTCAGCATGTCCATCAGCAGCTCAAGCTGTAGCTTCAAATAATTATTCTCCTCCAATAAGGCTTTGTTCTCTTTCTTCAGTCTCTTGTAAGACGATTCTTTGTTAGGAGAAGAAAGTAACTGCAGTAAGGGCATTTGCTGGGAAACACTGTTGCCCTGCCACTCACCCTCCTGGAAGACAAACTTTGTTTTGCTCAGCTGAGCACATGGATGGCCATAATCCATTCCCAATTCCGTTTGCCTCTTTTTGTAGTCCAAGAGGTAGAAAGTAGACAAAGAGGTATATTGTCGCAGTGGAGGCCTTCTGGGGTAAAATCTGCGAGAGAAATGATCAGCCCAGTAATCACGGATATCTTGCAGAATTTGAGCAATGGCTTCCATGGGGAACTAGTGATGGAGTACGCCGATAAGAGTCCTGCAGAAGAAAATTATGGAACAAAAAGCCAACATGTGCAATATCACAGAGAAGGGTGATACATTATGTGACTAAGAAACAGGCATCACTCTGCCACTTAATCAAGGCAATTGTATTGAACAGCATAACCTGCTAGCTTTCTTTTTGCTTGTCACTGTAATTTGGTGCAGGATATCATGTAGGAAGCATGCAATTATTTTAGAATAAATAGGAGACAAGTCTTATGCTGTTATGGAAACTCTGCTCTCAATTAGAAATAAGGGTGCCAGAGAAGACTTCCAGTTCTCCAGCAATTTCACATAGGGATAATATTTTCCTAAAAACGGTCCCCACACTATCTTGAACCCATTAATCGAATAAGCCCATTAGGCTCTGGCACTATCATCACATAGCACACACACAAGATGAGGCCCCTGCCACACGGCCTCTTTAAGGCGCGGCGTTGAAAAGCCGCGCCAACGTTGACACGGCGCGGCGGGATCCCATGGATCCCCCGGCCGCGCTGCCTTTTTTCCCCGGCGCGATCAAACGCCGGGGAGAAAACACAGCCCTAACCGGGGGCCGGCCAAACTGCGCAAGTCCGAGCATGCGCAGTTCGGCTCCGGCCCGGGGTTGTGCCGGCGCAAGGACGCGCCGGCGATCAAACGCCCGGTTTGCCGCGGTGCGTCCATTTGAACCACCAAAGTAGGTGGTTCAGTTTGCGCCGGCTCATCCCGGGAAAGGGACAGTTCGGGTACGGAAGCCAGACGCTTCCCAGATGTTGTGGTGTGATCGCGCCGGTTTGATCCGGCCCCGAACTGTCCCGCTCCCGGACCAAATCGGTGAGTGTGACCTGAGATTACCAAATCACTGCCTGACACCATCATGATCACGGGGCATACATATACTATAAACTTAATTTTATACTTTTTTAATTGGCCTGGTTTTTCCCTAAGAGTCCTCGAAACTGTAGGTGCTGCTGCTTTTGCATGTCATAATGACCAGTGGTTGCAGTTAGCCCATTGGTCCAAAGCTACATCTAAAAACAAAAGCTATCTAATAACTTTTCTTAAGACCAAGCAAAATACCACAACGCAGCATGCAAGCTTTTGAGTTCTGCGAAATGCTTCATCAGACTGTTCCTTATGTAGTGCTGCAGCTAAAGTTCTATTCCAGCACTGTTAGTATATCTATTATGTCTGCTGTCAAGTTTCTTAAGGGACCTTGTATTCTGTGTAGTGTTAGAGAGACATTTGAGTAACCTCTACTTTTTATATTTGTAATTGGAGACTGCTGTTATTCTCTCCTTCTTCCAGAAGGCCAAAGATGCAACCTGCTACCACCTCCACCACCTATTTAGATCTAGGTCATATCATAACAACATCTTTTTGTACCTCATCAAGACTGACAAAAAGTGCTGGACATTTTGAAATCTTGCACATTGTTTTGTGTTATCGGTCTTAATGAAAAGGCATCGCATTATTTTTGGATAAGGGTCAATGTGGATGTGGAGGAGCAGGTACTCCTCCTACTTAGCATGGGCCACAAGTGTTGCTGAGGGTTGCGTAAATGTGTTCCAACCAAAATGAAGTGAGTGGTGGGAGGGAGTGGTTCTGGTCTGACTACAGTGAAGAGAACAGCACTCCAAGGCTTCGGTTCAAGCAACTAGATCACAGTTTAACAGGAATACATTGTTTCAGTTGCGGTATCCGCTAAACTAATTTGTGGTCTATGGCTCTTTCCACACCTATGAAGAGGGCTTTCTAACAAAACATATGCAGGCAGATGACCCACCAGCCATGAAACATTTTCTTCCAGTTCTCTACATGTTCTGCTCACCAAACAGTAGTCACCTGGCAATGTTCTTTCTTCAGTCAAAACCACATATATCCACTGGTTTGGTTAAGGAGGTGAACTGTCTGCCATTTCTGAGTTCACACCCCTCTTGAAATTATACCTTGCCTCATGTCATCATGTGGTTTGCAATGACTCATAATTACTTTTCTTGTATTGGCCAACCAATTTTTTTGATGCAATGGGTCTTTAAATGCTCATATGCAGGGCTATTTTTGGGCAGGAACGCACAGGAACGGAGTTCCGGCTGGCTCCCGAGTTGGCCACACCCAGCAGGAACTCATTAGCAAATTAGACCACACCCAACAGCAGAAACTCATTAGGATTGGCTACATTAGGGATGTGTGGCCTAACATGCAAAGCCCCTGCTTCCGGCTGCCCTGCTTTCGGCCCTCATTCAGCCAGGAGGAGGCAGGAGAAGAGGGAGGGTAAGTTGCTTCCTCCCTGCCTCTCCCCACCCCTGCCTGCCTGGGGCCAGGGAGGGCCTTCGTGGGGCTTCCTTGCACTCCTGCCGGCCTTGCAGGTCCACCGCCGGGCCCCTCATGGGGCTCGGCAGTGGAGCTGTAAGGCCGGCGGTGGTGGCTGGGACCGTTGGGGGCGGGGGTGTGTGGCCTTATGACACAATTCCGGTGATGTCAGGGGGTGTGGCCTTATGACACACTTCCGGTGATGTCAGGGGGTGTGTCATATGCTAATGGGTTATGCTAATGAGTTCCCCTAGCTCTTTTTCTACGAAACGACCCCTGCTTCTGGTAACATGGGGGTGTGGTCTAAAATGCTAATGAGCTGTGCTGTCAGGGTGTGGCCTAATATGCTAATGAGTTCCTGCTGGGCTTTGTCTACAAAAAAAGCCCTGCTCATATGTGCCTATTGCCCTGACCTGGCTAGCCTGATCTCATCAGATATTGGAAGCTAAGCAGGGTTGATCCTGGCTAGTATTTGGATGAGAGACCTCCAAGGGGGTTGAATGGGGGGGTTGAAGTCAATAAATGACAGAACCCTTATGGCTTGGAAAATAAATGTGAAATTGCTTCCAAAAAATATAGAAAAATACATTAAAGGTGTTAAATGGTTTTCAATATAACAAACGTTTATCATAAACCTAACAACTTTACAATTAAAGATAAAACTGAATGATAATGTCTATGAACATAGCAACATTTGAAGAGACAGGATCTTACCTGGCTGCTGGTGGTGGCGACGGGGGTCCTGGTCCTCTTTCTGGAGTTCTTTGGCTCATGCGCTTTGTGCGTGCGCCAGAATGACATCATCCGGAAGTGACATCATCACACAGGGCACATTGCAGGGGACACTCTATCATTTATGGAAAAACTCTATGGTTTTTCCTCAAATGATTGTGTCCCCCCTGCAACATGTCCAGCACGGTGACGTCACCTCTGGGTTTTTCCTTAAATTATTTTTCCTTAAATGATGGTTTCACCTTAAATGATTGAGCATCCCCCCTGCAACATGTCCAGCAAATGATGTCACCTCTGGGTGATGTCATCGACCCAGATTAGGGTTGCCATATCCTACTTCAGGAATAGCGGGTGGAGTCCCAGATGTCTCCTGGAGTCTCCTGGTGTGCGCACTCTGCGCGTGCGCCACGATCACATCATCTGGAAGTGACGTAATTGTGTTGGGCATGTTGGGGGCGGGGCTACCATAATCCGAGGGGAAACCATAGAATTTTCCCTTGGATGATAGAGTGTCCCCCCACAATGTGCCCGACGCGATTGTGTCACCTCCAGGTGACGTGTTCAAGCCGGGCTTGTCACACGCTTTGTGGGTGGGGTCCTCCCAGCGGCCCAACCCCCGCCAGCAGGGAACGGGCCTCTCAGGCGGGGGTTTCCCTGCCCCCTGGGGGGACACGGCAACCCTAAGCCAGGTGCATTGCCGCAAACAAGGCTTTGGGGGCAGGGTTCCCCTGTCGGCCAAATTAGGAAGCCCAGAAGCGGGCAAACCCCAGCCCCCATCAGGAGAATGGCAGCCTCTCTATTTGGCTCCCTTGGCCCTAAATTCTAAACTTTTTAATAGAAATAAAATATTCAAATTAAAATGACATGGGTTACAGAGGCAGGCAATGGCAAACCATCTCTGAACCCCGGTTTCCCCCACTTTCAGGGGCCCCAATCTGCTGGCCACCAGCCATAGAGTTTTTGGCCAGGTGCTAGAGCGTCCCCTGCATTACATGCCTGGTGTTTTGACATCACCTCCAGGGGATGTTATTGTGTGTGCGCGCTTTTTGCACATGCCAGAAGTTCCAGGAACCCGGGCTGGAGCTCCCCACCGGCAGCCAGGTAAGACCTGGCAGCCCTACTCTGAATGTCTCTTGCCTTGAAAACCTTATGAGGTTGCCATAAGTCAGCTATGACTTAATGGTACTTTCCACCACCATTTGTGTATTATACTTGTTAGCAGACAGGTTCAGTGTTTACCTTGGTTTGATTAGATATAACTTAGTTTACTATCCACATTCCCAACTATATTGTGTGCAAAGTATTCACAATGTGTGTTTCTGTCATGCACCCAGCAACCTGTGGATTTATTTATGCGTTTGCCAATTTACAATTTAGGAAAATCAGAGCTGAGATATTATTCAGTCAAAGGAAACCAATGAACCAATAGCTGAGTTGTAATTTAAACCAATCCAGTAAGACAGCTGCTAGATCATATTGTTTATACAAAGCAGAAAGTGATGGTACAGCCATAATTTTTTCCCCATCAGGTCACACTTGACTTTATAGCGACCCCATGGGATGTTCAAGGCAAGAGATGTTCAGAGGTGGTTTGCCATTGCCTGCTTCTGTGTCATGACAACCCTGGACTTCCTTGGTGGTTTCTCATCCAAGTACTAACGAGAGCCAACCCTGCTTAGCTTCTGAAATCTGATGAGAATGGGCTTCCCTTGGCTCAGCTATAATTAGCCTCTTTTAAGTCCCATTATTTCAACAGGAAAAGGTTAATCACCTGAGTAGCTTTCATAATGAAATTAAATGTTCTTAAAAGTCCTATGGAGCTGCGGTGGCTCAAGTGGTTAAGACGCTGAACTGCAGGCTGTGGAAGGTCAGTAGTTCAGCAGTTCGAGACCTGAGTGTGCCGCATGACGGAGTGAGCTCCCGTCTCTAGTTCC